TTCTAGTAACAAGTGCCTTACTAGTAGTAACAAGTGCCTTACTAGTAACAAGAAGCTATTAGAAACAATTAAACTTCGTTTCCTTCAACTTTCAGACTCGTTCTTTCGTTTTCTCAGTGCAGGCCGAAACTCGGAGTGGTTCCATCCCGTGTGGGCTCATTCGGATCCAATGAAGAGGCGAATGCCTAAGCTGTGCACAGAAAGATGGGAAGGAGAAAAAGAGAAAGAAGAGGAAGAAGTATGACAAATTGTTGCATCTCCTTAGCCAAAGGTCTTCGTGTTCTCTTGCTGACTCAGTGTTTGGGTTGGCGCACATCAACAAGGCTAAGGGATGAGGCAATTCCACCATTCATCCTTGCAAGCTACCAATTGCAAACACGAGCGTTCGTGCGGAACACCTTTGCGTTTGTCGTTCTCCGTGCCCCTGCCCCAATTCTTAGACAATGACACTTAGACTGCATTAAGGAGGCGCGACACGGTTGTGTTATTCTGTACCTTTTTACTAGATTTGCAACGTTGTCTGGATCAACTCAGTGACTTCGCAAGAAGGTGCACCATCTCAAACAAATGAACTGGTTGTGCGTGCCAATGTCCACAGTTCTCCTGGGTTCTCCCTTGGAGAACTTAGTTGAGGTGGTGTCAAAGGAACGGTGGCGTTCGTTCTTGTTACTACTAGCGTGGCACCTGTTACTACTAGTAAGGCACTTGTTACTACTAGCATGGCACTTGTTTCTAATAGCAAACATTGTTACTACTAGTAAGGCACTTGTTACTACTAGCATGGTGTCAAACTACGCTTTTTTCTCTTTCTCGGACTGCCTTCTTTTTTTCCGCACAGAAAACGTCAACGGAAGAGCGACGAAGTGTTCGACAGAAGAACTCGCAAACCACCATCGACGCGCGACTTCGTGCTGGAAAGAAGTCTAGGCGTGAAAGCAGTTTGCAGTGGCAAAGCAACTTGTCATTGCACGGGCCCAAATTTGCACTGAGCATGCTCTCATCTAGGGCCCACTAGATGAAGGATGGTGCGAGCTTCTCCACAGAGGTCGCGCTGTCAAAATCATCAATGGGAACTTTGCATGAAATGAGTCAGGTGTGTCAAATGCCTGAAACCAGTGCCGAACCAGTGCCAATAAAGTCCTTGAAATGGAGATGGACAAACTCATTCAAACCATCGCTCACCTGGATGTGGAACTCAGCTGCACTCTTGACAACTCATGGAGAATTCCTTTTCGTGTGCCTATTGGATCAAAGTGACCAGGAGACGTGGATCGGCTTTGGCGGTGGTTCCCGCTTGTGTCACTGTGCCGAATTCTGGACTTTGAAAGGAGGTTGCACCCGTCCGACATCATCTCCGCCGTAAAGGTCACATTTCCATTAATTTCTAATTAGATTATAATTTTTGTTTCCATTAGCTTCTTGTTACTACTAGTAAGGCACTTGTTACTAGAAGCGATGCACTTGTTTCTAACAGCAAACATTGTTACTACTAAACATGTTTTTTCGATACCAAAAGTCGGCAGAAGTTGCAGTTTGGTCCCCCGACAAGTTCCTCGTCAAGGTCGCCCTATAGGTTTCACGAACTGGCACTTTTAGTTAGTGGATTAGCTGCTGTGCCGAGTTGCGTTCCCCACTTCTGCTCAGCTCAGGAAAAGAACAAAGCAAAACAAGGAGAACTTCCAAGAGAAAGAAGGCGCAAATCATCATGGTCAAAGGATGTCACAAGAAGAACAAACACACAAGCTCACACCAAACAAGTTCTGCCCGCGGTCCCCCTCCAACATGTTCAGAAACCAGTTAAATTCAAATAGTTTCCAATTTGTCAAGGTGCAACCAACCAGCGGCAGACTTCCAGGTGCCCATTCCGAGCCGCCTCAGATGCGGGCCGGAACAAGTTTCTGGAAACTCGGCTCCTTGCGGCGAATCCTTCCCGCCAAAACCTTTTTAAAGAGAGTGGCAGGCTGTGGGAATGCACTTTTTTAGAAGATTGAATGTGATTGAAGATATGCATGCACTAGGTTTGTGGTTTTCAGCATCTAGTGTCAAGTTGCTTTTGGGTCTGGCCCTCTTGTGATGGCAGAAATAGAAGGTTTAAAATTGATCATTTCCTTCTATATTTAATTTTACCCTTTATGATTTCCTTTCATGTTTCTTTTTAATTTGAACAATTTCTTTCACTTTCCCCTTTAAAATGGTTCATTCCTTCCATATTTCATTTTTCCTTTTTTGAATCTCAATTTGTATAAATTCTTTCAATTTTCCTTTTAAATATAATGACATGTTTTCATTTTCACTTTAAAATTGATTATTACTTTTTCTTTCATGAGTACTAAGTACCTTTCATTTTCCCTCCTAAATTGAACAATTCCTTTCATTTTCACTTTAAAACTGATCTTATCCTCTCACATAAAGAAGAAATCCTGCCATATGAAAAAGAAACTAATCATTGCTAAAAGGGAAAATGAAAGGAATTGTTCGTTTCAAAAGGTGAATGAAAAGAAGCAAAAAGATACTTGAATGAACATAGAAGAATAAATAATTGTTTAAAGAGAAAATGAAAGGAATTCACCATTATTAAAGGGAAATAGAAATCAAAAACATGAATCATTTCTAAAAGGACGTACACACCACAATAATCATTGTTACAAGAACAATAGAAAGAAATAATCAAATATAAAATATAAAGTAGTTGACATTTTAAAAGGTACAGAAAGGAAAATAAAAATATGCCAAAAAAATAGCAGGAACTAATCATTCTGAAAGGAAATTAGAAGAAATAACATTTTAAAAGGAAACAAGCTGAACATGTTAAACCTTTAAAGGAATCAATCAGCCATTCTTCAACATGAAAAATAATCAATGTTAGAAATAGGAACACATAATGATTTCAAAACTGAAAAATAAGTGACAATCGCAATGCCGCGCGCCGCGGTCTTTTCTCGCTCAAAAAAGGGCTTCAGGAGGTACAATTCTCGATTTGTACACGACCCTTCAAGTCGGAACTTGGTACACTTCTTATTTG